TAATATTTTTAAAACTTTTATTGTGATTTGGGTGAAAGTTTACAGAGCAAATTCATTTTCCATACAGTTCACATACACTTTATCTCAGGACACTGACTGCAATTTCCCACAATGCAACAGCTCTCTTCTCACTTCCTCCCCATAGTTACGTCTTCCCTGTGTCCTTCCCTCCCATGCACTTCTGGCCCCCAATACTAATATAAACTCTGTAAGCTCTACTACTGAGCTTTTTAAATAATTTAATATAAAGCAAGTGTTTTCTATGGAAAAAACCTATATTTCATAGATATATATATATTTGAGGAAAGGCAGCTAAATGTTCTTGTGAGGCAAAATAATTTTAAATCCTTTTCTCCAAACTTAAAAAAAGTGTTGTATTGTTTTAAAATTAGAAAAAGCCAAATCCATAATCCTCCCATTCTGAACTTCACTTATTCAGCAGACCAATTATTGCCAGGATCCAGGATTAGAGTGAACCAAGCAGACATGGTACTACTGAGGGTTTTCTTTCAGTCTTCATCCATGTGCACACTTCTTTTTCTTTTATAATTGAGTCGTATCATACATAGGAGCTCTGGTAGCATAGTCTCTAAGGCACCTGACTGCTAACCAGAAGGGTGGCAGTTCAAACCCACCAGCCACTCCTCAGAAGAAAGGTTGGGCAATCTACTTCCATAGTGATACCGCCTCGAAAACCCATGGAGGGGTCACAATAAGTCAGGACCGACTTGACAGCACATAACAACATACCATATATATACTTTTATATTCTGCAATTTCCATTTTAAATACAATACTTTAAAAGCCCTCATCACTTTCTAACTTTTAAAAATATGTATTCTCGTTGTAACAAATAAATGATCTGAACTATATTTGCATATGTTATTCTGAACATTTGAAAATACAATAAATTTTCTTTGAAAATATTTTTTAAAGATGTTATGAATTTTTCAAAAAAATATGTAAGGCCAGTACAATGAGCAAACCCAGCACCAGACTGTAGTCTCTAAACATATCCCCTTAAAAGGAACAAAGGCATTTTGGAGAAATGGTTGATTCCAGATCTGAGTCAGGAAAATTCACAAAAGAAGTCCAGAACATTTTGCCATACAAGATAGCAAGCTGTCAACATCACTAACATATCTAGAGGACACAGAGCCCAATTTGAAAGGACTCCACTGACTAATGAGAGAGCATTCTGAGTATCTAAAAGAATAAGCCTATAATGCACTGAAACAGATGCACATCTGAAACTCATGTTTTAACCCATGAGTTCATAATGATACTAAAAGCAAATGAAAAGGAAACTCAGAGGTCATTTTTGTTACCAATGCATCATTCTGAAAACTAGTGCAAAAGAGAAAAAATTTACCATTTATCTCATCTTTTCTATACAGATTTTATTTCAGGGTAACCACATAGTTGATGAAGAAGAATTCTTCTTTATAGAAGAAGTCCAGCCAATAAATGAAGAAGGAATGATAGAAGCAATAAGTATCACCCTTCTGCATGCCCCAGTGAAGGAACGCTGGCACTGTCCACTAGCACTGCCTGTGCACATCCTGCTGAACGCCTGAACTGAGATGTGCTGCAGTGCAAAACGCACACTGCATTTTGAAGATTTAGTATAAAAAACTAAAAAAAGACTGTAAAATATCTCATTTATTTATACTGATTATATATAGAAATGATAATATTTGAACATAATGGGTTAAACATGTTATTAAAATTAGAGATGGCTTTTAGGCTGCTTAAAAAACCAGAAAACTCATATGTGTATATATCATTGATCCCTATCTTATCTGATATACCTTGGAGATTTTGTGAGGTTGATGTTGGATCATGGCAATAAAGCAAATATTGCAAAACAGTGAGTTTTTTGCAGTGTTTTTGGCTTCCCAGTGCACACGGAAATTTTGTTTCCTCTATGCTGTAGTCTATTAATGTACAGGAGCACTATGGAAAAGGTGAAATACCGTGAGAACTACTAAAACATGACTCAGAGACAGGAAGTAAGCACACGCTGTGGGAAACTGGTGCCTATAGATTTGCTTGACTCGGGGCTGCCACAAAACCGTCAATTTGTAAAAAAAAAAAAAATGCAGTATCTGTGAAATAAAATAAAGCTAAGCACAATAGAATAAAATATGCCTGTATACCAAAAGCTATTGTTTTAAAAAGAGTTTGTCTTACGAGATTGATTACTCCCGGACTAAAAAGTTTTCCCCCACCTAGCCCCACCCAAAATCACTGAGAGGGTAATTTAGTATTTAGGAAGATTTCTCTGTCAAATAAAAATACGACACTGAAAAGGAGCAACTTAATTAGTTCAGATTAGGGTTAGCTGTCAACAGCATGTGGAAAGTGCCTGAAGAGTAGGTGCTGAGGTGAAATGCTACCAACTAGCAGAACTGTCTAGAAATTAGAGCCAATAATTTTGAAAACAACGTAAAGACTTTTACAACACAGAATTTAAAAACAAATCTGAAAGACAGTTTGGACAATCATGGCAGATTTGAGTTAGTAATACCAAATTTACATTTAGTTTACGATTTTTAATATAATTTGTTTCACCAAATAACAACCAAACAATTCAAACAGTCTCAAAGATACTAAGTAGCATTTAAAATGGCACAGCATGTAAGTAGTAAGGTAATAATGAGGCATGAATTTCACTTTAAATCCTGCAATACTATAGGAAAAACAAGCACTGCTTTTGTTAGTTGCTGTCACGTGGATTCTGACTCCAGGTGACCCATGTATGCAGAGTAACACTGCTCCACAGGGTTTTCAGGGCTGCGATCTTTCAGAGGCAGGTCACTAGGCCTTCTGAGGTACCCCAGGGTGAGTTGGAACCACCAACCTTTTGGCTCATTGAGTGCTTAACTGTTTGCGCCACTCAGGGATCCATAAGAGAAAATAGCATGTATCAGATACCATGCTATGCATTATGGGGACTAAACTTTTGTTTAACAAGAGGTCTGTGCTCTTCAGAAATGTTATGTCCTAGAGAGATGAAACATGTGCATAATTAATAATATGGGTAATAATAGAGGTGGAATATACAACAGGGGCCTTCGAGTTCTCCTCAGAAGGAAAGGGTTCAGGGTGGCTGAGATAAATGTTTACAGCACTTACAGGGTACCAGGGCCTGTGCTCAGAGGCACTAAAGCTCAGTGGTTGTGGACAGGCCCTGGAGTTGAGTCTGCTGGATATGAACCCCGGTTCTACCACACTTACTAATGAAGTCACTTTGTACAACTAACTTCTCCAATCCTCAGTAAAAAAGAAATAATAGAAACACCTACTTTATAGGGTTGCATTAAAGACCGTATGAGATAATCCATGAAAAGTCCTTTGGACAATGCTTTGCACAGAGTAAAGTTCCAGGGCATTTTAAGGAAGATAACATTGTGCATGTTCCCTGAAGTCACACGACTTACAAGTGATGAGCTAGAGTTAGACCCAGTGCATAGTGCCTAGCTTGTCATCTTGACATTGCACCAAATGTTGAGACCAAATGTGCATTTAAGAAGAGGCCAATATGGAAAAACACGATGGAAAGAGCAAGGTGTATCTGAGCAGGTGATGTGGGGTGGAGTAGATGATTAATGTAGGAGAATAAAGCAAATAAGGCTTAACCTAAAAAGAGGAAAATGAGAAGAGTAAGAAAAATGACTATGTAGGCTTTGTTGGAAGGAGCTCTGGTAGCGTAGTGCCTAAGGCACTTGACTGCTAACCAGAAGGCTGGTGGTTCAAACCCACCAGCCACTCCTTGGAAGGAAGGTTCTGTAGTGATACTGCCTCGGAAACCCTAGGAAGGGCTGCTATGAGTCGGGTCCGACTCGATGGCACATAACAACAACAGGTACTGGTGGTGGTGGTGGTTGCCATTGAATTGATTCCATCTGTGGTGGTTATGTTTGTGTGTCAACTTGGCTGGGCCTGGTTGAGTGGCTGGGCAGCTGGTGGTAGTTATTCCCCAGATGAGAATGGCAATAAACTCCATGGTGGGACCTACCACAAGCAGCTGAGTAGCTGCTTTAGGGGTGTGGTCTGCTTCCCATATATAAGAAACAGCTTTGGGCATGGTCTCTAGCTTACGGCACGCTTGAACCCTGTATGCAGCCGTGTCATTGTTCAGCAGCCTGCCATGCTCTATCGACCTTGGGACTTTCAATGGACTTGAATCAATGGCCTGCTGTGTGGTTTGGTAATATCAGTACTGTGCCTCGTTACTTGTCGACTTTGGGTTTTATCAGCCTCAGCAGCTGAGTGAAGAAAAGCCCCAGCTTCAGTGGGCTGGGAGCAAGAGGCACAGCTGGAGCCCAAGGTTGAGGGGCTTTCACACAGCCCCTAGAGCCTGGCACTTCGAACTCAGACTTCTAGCTTCCCAAACTGGAAGAGAATAAATTCCTCTTTGTTAAGGCAACCCCATCTGTGGTATATTTTTGTCAGAGCAACACTAGGTAACTGTAACACCATCTCATGCTGCTCCCGTATGTGCAGAGCAGAACTGTACTCCATAGGGTTTTCAAGAAGCGGAATGGCGGGCCTTATTTCTGAGGAAACTTTGGGTGGGTTTGAACCACCAACCTCTGGGTTAGTAGTCCAGTTCTTAACCATTTATGCCACCCAGAAACTGCTATACAGGCTTACACATTTTAAAAAGGAATTTCTTCATAATTACATTAAAATGGAAAAAAACACTTTATTTTTCATGTTCATTAACTACACATTTTAGAGCGACTACAAGTTTCCTGAAGAAATAGTTTCCTCATCTAAGACACACTACTTAACAGATAATACAATTCTCCTTTTGGCTTTCAAGAAGTTCAGAATGAAATTCAAAGATTAATACTACAAACTATGCTCCTTCATGACCTACCATTCCCAGCTCATACTATCCTTTTGTAAATAATAGCCTCCTTTTACTCATTTCAAAACATTTTTATCTTACTGATTTTTTTTTTTTTTTAATTTCCTAAAAAATGTCTTACTCTGGAATAAAGCTGGGCATAAATAAATAAATAGCACCCACCTGTTGCTTCCTCATCAAAGCAAGCAAAAGCGTTTCTGATGACGTCTTCTGGATCAGTCCCATTTAGCTTCTCCCCAAACATCGTAAGGAACATGGTGAAATTGATGGGGCCCGGAGCCTCACTCATCATGGCATCGAGGTACGCATCAGTCGGATTCTTCCCTATACGAATTCAGAGTTTAATGTTGCGTGACGAAGAACTAACTCGATAAATAATCACTCTGCTATTGTTATGCTTCCCAACAAATTTTTTAAAGCTGCATCTCCATCACTTGAAACTAAATTTTCAACTGACTAGCATTAAGAAATATTTAAAAATGATAATTTTTGACAGCTTTAAAGGTCTTTGATACATCACTATAAAGATGCAGTCTGGGCTTAGGTTAAATGGTACTTATTCACTGGTATTTTCTGTCAACTTTCCCTTCACTATGTTTCATTAAAAACAAAACAAATACCTGAAATTATAAACCAGACGATGCCATATCATTATTACTGTAAAGGCTGAAAACGCTAAAGGTCCATCAGAGGGGACATTTCAGTATCAGTTACTAAGAAAATCTAAAAATCCATTGTTCCTATCATGGTACATTTGTCTGTGATTTCACTGTGTTTCAAAAATTGTATTTTTTTAAAAAAAAAAAAAACAGGTTTGCTGGTCCAATGGAGCCTGGTGGAACCACTGAGACTATGGCCCCTAGCTGCCCTTCAGGTCTGGAATTGAACACATACCTGTGGTTTCCAGCCAAACAATGTACAGGCATGTGAGTTAAACATTTACCTCAAGTAGACACACACCCTGGAGAGAAAAATCATGGGAGAAGGAAGGGCTGCTTATGCACAGAGAGACAGCTCAGGGGGCAGGAGAGTATGGAGGGATGGACACTGGGAAGAGGTAACTATGGGGAGGAAGTGGGAGGAGAGCTGTTGCATTGTGGTAAACTGTAGTCAATGTCATGAGACAAAGTGTATGTGAGCTGCTGTATGGAAAGTGAATTTGCTCTGTAAATCTTCACCCAAATCACAATCAATCAATCAATCAATCAATGTGAGGGGAAAAAAAGAAAAGTTTTCTTTCCTCTCCTTAATAAAAAAATAAATAAATAAATTTATTTTTAAGTTGGCCACTTAAGTTAAAACTATTAGGTGGGTTTAGAATTGGGAGCGTATCTTGAAGAGTGTTATAAGTAAGATACTATTAGGTTGCCAGACAAATCCCCAAAATGTTGTTTGCTCATGTCACTGAGTGATCTTACTTAGGACTGCTTATAATGAGAAAACTTTAATCTCAGTTTCAATGAGAATTCTCTCTTGTAGTACAGTTGGGAGGAAACTATCCCTAAAAGTTGATAGAAATTCCCCTGGAATGACAAGACAGTGTCATAGTAACAAAGGTACCCCATTTATACTGGCTATCTGTAAGCCCTGCTGATGTGATAAAAGCAGCTTTGAATTAAAGGTCTGGAATCCTGGGTTCAATCCTAGTTCTGCCACTGGCTGTGTAACCAGAGAGGAGGTGGCAACATGCTAGGGTTTACTTTTTTTAATCTGTAAAATAGACTAGCTGAACTTGGTACCTCTAAGGTGCCTTCTAGCACCAATTTGTATGATTCTACATGAAAAAAAAAAACCATCTGTAAGTTAGATATTCTTATCTAAGGGAGCATCTCAATATCACACCCAGCTAAGAGCCAATGTCACTGAAATCTGGAATCACAGTTCATGTATTAATTTTAATCCTCAGAATTCTGGAAAAACTTAATAATATGTTGTCATCTATTTCACTGCATTATAATCCTGTCTCATTATACCCATTCAAAATACCAACACATACATTAGTCTAAAACTAATCTAAAGATAAAATTCATTGAATAAGTAAAAGCAGCCAAAGAGATTTACTTTTCAACCTTTAGATTTAACCCAACCCTTTTGCACCAATTTCTAGGATGGGGTGGGGTGGGGAGTATGACCCCGAGGTATTGTAAGAACCTCAGGGTACAAAAAAGACACAGGGATTTAAAATGAATTGGTTTAGGCTAAGCACCTATAGAGCCATAGACCCATTCAAGGTGTCCAATATAGTCCGTAGATTTGAAAGGTAAATGTGTATCTTTCAAGATATGGGGTTCCCCCAAACAGTAGGCCCCAAAGTAGCCTCTTACTCTACTACCACTGTTGACTCAACAAATACTTAATGAGCACCTACTATGAGCAGGGTATGGGCTTGAGTGTTCAATCTTTGAAATACAGCTAATTCTCTCCATTTCCCTTATTCTGTGGTGATCTGCCCAAAAAAGGATACTTTGCTAGCTATTCTGAATGTGAAAAACACTGGAAAACAATCTACAATCTTGATTCTACTCTCATACCCAGTAAAGTAAACACTGCAAAGTGCTAACAATTAGTGAATCTAGGTAAAGGATATACGGGTGTTCATTATACCGTTTTTTCCACATTTTGTAGGCTTGAAATTTTTCAAAATAGTACGCTAGGGGAAAAAAAGAAAAACCAGTAAAAGAATAAATGCTAGTTAATGGTTTTGTGGATACAAAAAACAAACAAAAATTCCTCTCTTTGCCCTCTGGCACTCAAGTTGCCCTTCCTGGTTAATTATCTAAGCACCACAGCAAGTCCTCCTCAACATGCCAGCACCCAATGTTTGGTCTATTAAGGACTAAATTGCTTGTCCTTCCTTTACTCCCAACTATAAAATCAGTGCTGACTCTGGGCAGAAGATGTAGAACCTTCTGAGTTTCTCTCTCTCCCTCCCTGTCTTCCTTTTAAGATCAAAATAAACAGTGAAAGAGACTAACAATCAAAAAAAAAAAATTATTACCCTCTCAAAAAAAAACCCATTGCCACTGAGTTGATTCTGACTCATAGCAACTGTCATGGATTGAATTGTATTCCCCTAAAATATGTGTCATCCTGGCTGGGCCATGATTCTCAGTGGTTTGGCAGTTATGCAATGATGTAATCATCCCCCGTGATGCAACATGATGTGATCAGCCCATGAGCTGTAAGGGGATTAGGGTGGGATGCAACACCCTTACTCAGGTCCCAGCCCTGATGATCCATTGTTAAGGGGAGCTTCCCTGGAGTGTGGCCCTCATCACTTTGTATCTTATAAGAGATAAAAGGAGAGAGAATCAAGCAAAGAAGGAAGGACTGCAGTACTATCAAGAAAGAAGAGCTGGGAGTGGAGCGTGTCCTTTGGACCTGGGGTCCCTGTCCTGAGAACCTCTTAAACTCAGGGGAAGACTGATGCCAAGACGCATGGAGATCTCCAAGGAATGCTGGGACCACAGACGTTGAAAGGAGACAAGGACCTTCCCCCAAAGCCAACAAAGAGAATGTCTTCCCCCGGAGCTGGCACCCTGAATTTGGACTCATCGCCTCCTAACCGCGAGAAAGTTTCGGTTTGTTAAAGCCATCCACTTGTGGTACTTCTGTCACAGCAGCACTTGGTAACTAAGACAGCAACCCTACAGGACAGAGTAGAAAGGACCTGTAGGGTTTCTTAAGCTGTAATCTTTACAGAAGTAGGCGGTTACATCTTCATCCCACAGAGTGGCTGTTGGGTTTCAACTGCTGACACTGCAGTTAGCAGCTGAGTGCTTAACTACTGCACCATCAAGGCCGCTTAAAATTCACACAAGGGATGATACATTAACATCTATGTACCCAAACTAACTAATGGCAATTTATGTTTAATCAAATCTTGTATCTTTGTGTTTTATTATAAATAAAACAGTGGAAGTCCCTCCCTTGAACTTCCTTTCCAGTAGAACTGTCTTCCCTCCCCAGAGACAACTATTATCACTCATTACTGTCACCTCTTGTCTTAATTATTAACTATAATTTTGTTTGAAATTCTGACATGTTGCTACCTAGACATCCCCTGGCTTTCTATAGGCCTATAGTATTGAGCTAACAGGAATGTAAGCCTATCTGACCACTGCACCTGCCAAAGCCCCAATCCTGCAGGTTAATCCTATCTTATGACTGTCCAAGCCCCAGTATGGTACCCCTCCACCCCATACCCAGAAATTTCTCAATAGGCCCTTTGAGATAAAGAGATGAGTATTTGTACAATACACAAAACATGATTTTTAAAGAGCTAGACTATTATTTCTGGGAAGTGGGCATATAGAGCATATAAAAGTCTACCTAGAGAAGCAAGCATATCATGCAGATCTTCCTTGTCAATGAAGCCATCTCTGTTCTGATCAATCATGTTGAAGGCCTCTTTGAACTCCTGTATCTGTGACTGATCGAACATGGCAAACACGTTGGATGTTGCACGCTGAGGGCGCTTCTTGATGGTCTTGGTCTTTGCCTTTTTGCTCGACATGGTGGCTGTTTAATTCTGGAGTTAGAAAGAAAAACAAAACCAAAAAAGAACACCTAAGACATGAAACAAAAAATAATGCATTATACCTAAAGTTAGTGAGTAAAAAGAATGTGAAGTTATCACTTTAATTTGAGCAGGTACACATCTAAACTCTATTTTCAATGTGATAATTAAATAGCTAGGGGAAAAAAAGAAGTTTTGAAAGACCTAAGAAACAAAATACTCACACTTCCTGATTTTAAAACTTATTATACAGTTATAGTAATCAAAACAACCTGGTACTGGTGTAACTGACACAGAGACCAATGAAACAGAAGTGATACTCTAGAAATAAACCCACTTATCTATGGTAAATTGATTTTTGACAAGATTGCTAAGTCTCTTTGACAGGGCAAGAGGAATCTCTTCAATAAATGGTGTTGGTAAAATTGGATTTCCACACACAGAAAAATGAAACAGGTTCCATGTCTCACATGATATACAAAAACAAAATCAAAGAATTAAGGAGCTAAATGTGAAAACTAAAACCATAAAATTCTTATTAGAAAATGTAAGCACAATGTTTTTGAACCTAGCTTTTAACAATGGATCATCTAATATAATAACAAAAGCACAAACAGCAAGAAGTAAAATAGTTTAACGGGATCATGTAAAAATTAAAAACTTTTGTTTATTAAAAGACTTTACCCAAAAAAAGAAAAGAAAACATGAGCTACCAACAGAGACAATATCTTGGAAACCATGTATTTGATTAAGAATCTAAGAACAAAATATATATAAAACTTCAAAAAGTTAACAAAAAAACAAATAACCCATTCATAAAATGGGCAAAGGACTTGAGTAGACATTTCACCAAAAAAGACATTCAAATGGCCACCAAACACATGAAAAGATGTTTAATATCATTAGCCACAGAGAGATGCAACTCAAAACCACAATGAGGTAGCAGTCCACTCCCACTAGGATGGTTAAGATTCAAAACAATACAAAACAAACCCACAAGCAGAAAACAACAAATGTTGGCAAGGATGAGGAAAAACTGGAACTCTTATCCATTGTACAAATGCAAAATGGTACAGCAGCTGTGGAAAACAGTGTGGCAGTTCCTCAAAAAAAATAAAAGGAGAACTACCATATGACCCAGCAATTCTACTCCTAGGTATATATCCAAAAGACTTGAAAGCAGAGACTTGTACACCAGGATTCACTGCAGCACTGTAGCCAAAAAGTGGAAACCACCTAAATGCTCATCAATGTATGAATAGATAAAACAAGTATGGTGGAATACCACTCACTGAGTAAGGGAAATGAAGTCTTGATACATGCTACAATATGGATGGAGCTTGAAGACATTATGCTGAGTGAAATAAATCAATCCCAAAATGACAAATATTGTACTACCTCATTTACATAAAAAGACAAGAACAGGCAAATGTATAGAGATCAGTTTATTAGTGGTTACTAGGGGTGGGAGGAAGGGTAAAAGTGTAGTTACTACTCATGGAGTACTGAGTTCCAGTTTATGGTGATGAAAAAATAACATTAAGGGTAGGGTAGCTACTTAATATAATTGCTATCAATAAGTTGCACACCTGCAAAAAGTTGAATTGGCAAAAGTTGTGTGATATATTTAAAATAAGAGTAGCTGCTGAGGCTGCTTATGGACAACCAAATACCTCACGGAATTTGGTTTCTTGGTTTGGAGGTTCAGGTCATAGTTTCATGGTACATTCCAGTTAATTGGCCTGCTAATAACATGTATAGTGCTTTTGTCCTACCTCATTTTGTAATGCCTGAGTTTGAGAGGGTCTTAAAAGCTCATAAACAGCCAAGGCACAATTGGTCTCTATTCACTTGAAGCAAGAGAGGAAAAAGGAGCAATAGGAATAGGAAGAAGACATGAATTATGTGGCTGACTGCCTCCATCAACAACTGCCTCCTTTGCCATGAAACCCAAAGAACCGGAGGGTGCCTGGCTACCAGTACTGAACAGTTTGATCCAAGGTTCTACAGAAGAATCCTGATCAAAAGGGGGAACAGGTAGAATAGAATTTCAAATTCTCATAGAATCTAGACTTTCAGCAGCCATGGAGGATGGATGAACCCTTGAAACTACTGCCCTAAAATCATCTTTAAACCTTAAATCAAAAATAACCTTGAAGTCTTCTTAAAACCAAACAATAACTTAGCTTAACTAGCAATGAATGTCTGCCTTGAGCATTATACTCTTTTAAGAACTATCTATGTGCGATGTAATTGACAACAGGAACTTCAGGGGCAGTGAGTTTATACTACAGGGGGAGGAGCAACTCAGAAGAGGAGGGTGAGAACAGGTGCACAACTTGAAGAATGTAATCAATGTTATGGAATTGTACACTTAGAAATTTGAATTGGTGAATGATCTTCCATGTACATTCTACATATATGCATATTCTATGTCTATCTAGGAGCTCTGGTGGCTCAGTGCCTATGCCATTTGACTGCTAACCAGAAGGTTTGTGGTTCAAACCCACCAGCCACTCTGCAGAAGGAAGACTGGGCAATCTACTTCCGGTAAAGATTTACCACCTCAGAAAACCAAAGGGGGTCACTATGAGTCAGAATTGACTCGATGGCAGTGAGGTGTTTTTTTTTTTTTTTTTTTAATGTATATCCTCTATAACAAAAATAAATAAATAAATAAAAATTTCATGGGATCTATTTTCATTAGGTGGGAATTAACTTTAAAATGTATTTACAAAAGGTACATTTACTGAGCGTCTTAAAGTTCTGTGAAGTGAGTCTAATGATGTTACATAATCTACTAAGATTCAAAAAAGGGTCTTGAGAAGTGTTGCCCAAAGTGTAGTCATTTAATCACCTACAGTAAAAACATTCATCTTGATTATAAGAATATTCCTTCTAATATCCCAATGGAATCACCCAACCACTGCTATGGAGTCAATTCCAGCTCATAGTGACCTGACCCCATAGGGTTTCCAAGGCTGTAAACCTTTACGGAAACAGAATACCTCATCTTCCTCCTGCATAGCAGCTGGTCAGTTCAAACCACTGACCTTTTGGTTAGCAGCAAAATGCTTTAATCACTACACCACCAAATCTCCTCTTCTATGTGACAGAATCCCAAAAAGAACTCTGGACACCAAGGAGCAGGTGAATGTCCCTGGTTGGCAATACTCTACTGTCACACATCATTCCCATGAGGCATTAAGGCTGTCCGTAACTCCACACACACAGGGCGAGTGGAAACTCAGCATTTGGAACTCTCCAGGAGTCTGCTCCATGCATCAATTCCCTTGGCTGATTTTAATCTGTATCCTTTCACTGTAGCAAACTTACTACAAAAGCTTTCAGTGAGTTCTGTAAATTCTTCTAGCAAATTACTGGGGGCGTGACACTTGGCAGTTGGCAGTCGGAAGTGAGGGCAGTCTTGTGGATTGTTCCAACTCTGCAGTACCACAGCACAAAAACAAATGACTAGCCAGGTCAGTGGCTGAAATTTTGGACCTGGGTCTCAAGATTTCTGGCCTCAGAATTTTTTATATTTATATTGCCTACTTCTCTTTTTGCCAATCTAAAACACACTCCACAGTGGTTCAGCTTGGCTTAGTGATATAGTTTTCAAGTACGCCAGCCTTGGAGTCCTTATTGGAACATTCATGTCATTTCTTCTCCTCCCCGTTCGCCCTTGTCCTCAATAAATGCTAATTAACTTCTCCTTCCCATAATTTAGATAGTTAGTTGACCTTAATTACATTGAAAGTTAAGTCACAGAGGCAGAATGCTGTTGTATTAAGGTTATTTTCACATGTTAAAAATTCTATGATTCTAGTTCTTCAAGTTATAATTTGTATTATTGTTGCTATTGTGGGCCATGTCTGTTCCTATAAAGAGTTACAGCCTTGGAAACAGTAGTTCTACTCTCTCCTACAGGGTAACTATGAGTCACAACTGACTCGATGGTAATGGATTTTAACGACAAACAAAACCCAACCCTGCTCTTAAACTAGTTATGGATAGAAAATACCCACAGAGAACAGAGCCCATGACGTTATGCATAATTCTCAATAGCAATAAAAGCACTTTTAACTTCCGTTTCCAAATTTCTATTTTACTGTTTCTATAAATTTCTAATTTAAAGTGTGTAAAGTGTATAAATGGAGAAATAAATAAAGCCGTCAAAGATTTCATTTTACTCAGATCCACAATCAACACTCATGGAAGCAGCAGTCAAGAAATCAGATGTCATATTGCACTGGGCTAATCTGCTACAAAAGACCTCTTTAAAGTATTGAAGAGCAAGGATGTCTTCAAGGAAGACTAAGGTGTGCTTGACCTCAGCCAGTGGTATTTTCAATTGCCTCACATGCATGTGAAAGCTGGACAATGAATAAGGAAGACCAAAGAAGAGTTGATACTTTTTTGAGTTGTAGTGTTGGCAAAAAATACTGCAAGTACCACAGACTGCCAGAAGAACTAACAAATCTATCCCGGAAGTGCAGCCGGAATGCTCCTTGGAAGCAAGAATGGCCAGACTTCACCTCACCTACTTTGGTCATGCTGTCAGAAGAGACCAGTCCCTGGGGATATCATGCTTGGTAAAGTGGAGGGTCAGCCAAAAAGGGCAAGACTCTCAACAACATGAATTAACAGAGGGCTACAACAATGCACTGAAGTATATAGCAAGGATTGTAAGGATGGCACATGACCAGGCAGTGTTATGTTCTGTTGTACATAGTGTAGTTATCAGTCAGAGCCAACTCAATGGTACCTGACAACAATAACTAAGGGTATAAAGTGCTCTGGTGGTGCACTGATCAGCCCACTAATCAAAAGTTCAGAGGTTTGAAAACACCAGCTACTCTGCGAGAGAGTAGCTTCCATAAAGACTTATAGCTTTGGCAACCCTATAGGGTAACAGTTCTGTCCCATAGGGTCCCTGTGAATTGGAATCAACTCGATGGCAGTGGATGGGTTAAAGGGTGTATAGTGTCACAAAG